CCGACACACACACACACACACACACACACACACACAGGACATCCTTAGGTAAAGGTTTACAATGTTCACTTTCCCATGGTCTACATAGACCTTTCCTCCCGGACCCACCAGATCCCCAAAGTGGAAGCTGCACCTCCCACACTTGCTTTTTTAGATCAGGCAGGTGTTCTGCAAAGTGGTGGCTGGCGCCTGTCTGGGGTCTTGGTTAGAGATGTGCACTGTGGCCACAGCCAAGCAAAGTCCCGCAGGCAGTTGGCCCATATGTACTGAATAAATGAGTGGACCGTGTGCTGTTGTTGACCGTGTGGATGTGGACATGACCTGCCGGAGTCAGTTGTGCCTCATGGGGCCATTTCTGCCTGAGGGGAAGGTTCTGTACAGCCAGCCTAACTCCCTGCACAGCCGGGGGAAGCAGCGGGCTCCCGACCAGTGGGCCTGTGCTCCCCAAGGCTGCTATTTGAGGCCTCTCTTCAGGACTGCCAAGTAGAGGGAGGGGGAGGGGAGGCGCGGAAGGGATGGGGTTCCTCCATCTGCATTGTGCGTGAGGTCTGTGAACTTAGCTTTGTTAACCCCAGTTTTATAAATGTCAGTGGGAAATGCTGACATGGGACAGGGGCTGCCGTGGCTGGGACAGTCCACGCCTCTGGGGAGGAGGGTAAACGTGCTGGCTGCCTGGGTTCATGTCACAGCTCCCTCACCAGGCTCTCTGACTTCAGAAAATGCCAGCTCTGAGTTAAACAGTTTCTTCATCTGTAAAATAGGAATAATGATAGTGCCTACCTCTTAGGGTAGTTGTGTGGATTAAATAAACACATTCAAAATGCTTGGTTAAGACACTTTTATTACAGTGAATTCCCATATTCCTGGAGGTGAACCCTTGACCTAGTTCAAACCTGCAAGCAAGACTGGCAGGGTCTCCAGGCAATCACTGAACCAGAGAATCCAGGTCCACCGGCCCAGCGCCCTTCTCCAGGGTGACACAGTCCCCCCTTAGCAATGGGACAGCCCAGGGTCTCTATGCCTGAGCCATCCCGTTCTGCCACAAGGAAAGATGCTGCGTAGCCCCGGCCAACTTGCACAACTGTCTGGTATTCACCAAGCTGCAGGCAAGCTGTGGGAGGCAGCAGACTGGGGAGGCTGGGGTGCTTGAGCCGGGATTCACTCTCTTGAGAGCAGGTCTGAGAATGAGCCCAGAGGGGGAGGGGGATCCAAACAGAGGAAAGATATGGTGGTCAAGGGTTGATCCAGGGAATCTGGAAAAAGGGCTATTTCCTCCTGGAAGGACGGATTCGGAGGGTCTGGGAAAACAGGCATCCCTTGCTAGGCTTTCTTGTGATTCATAAATGTTGGGTTTTTTACAGTTTCAAGGCAAGACCTTCCCCGAGCAAAAGGATTACAGCTTGCTTTAGTGCCGTGTTCTGGAAGCTGAGGGATGACGTGATGGGTGATGATGGATCGAGGAAGAGGGAGAGACAGGTAATGTGATAGTTAATTTTACGTGTCAACTTGACGAAGCCACAAGGTGCCCAGGTAGTTGTTCAAACATGATTCTGTGTGTGTGTGTGTGTGTGTGTGTGTGTGTGTGTGTGTGTGGTGTTTCTGTGAGATGCACAGTTGAGTCGGTGGACTGAGCAAAGCAGAGTGCCCTTCCAATGCGGGCAGGCCCCCTCCAGTCCTGAGGAATGAGTAGAAATAAAGGTCAAATAGAAAGAGTTCTTCCTCTCTGTGGACTGTTTTGGAGCTGGGACATGTGTACTTGGACTGGAACTTACACCGTCGTCCCTCCTGGTCCCCAGCCCGCAGAGGGCAGATTGTGGGACCCCGTAATCCCATGAGCCAGTCCCTTGAAATAAATCGGTTTACAGGTAGGTAGACAGGTAGGTCTCCTGTTCGTTGTTTCTCTGAAGAACCATACAGGTAACCAAGTGGAAGGCAAAATAGAAGGCCTGTAGAAGGCCCTGGGGTCTGGAGGAAGGAGGCCCGCTGAGGTTCCCAGTGGGGTCAGCGAGGCGAATCTGATGGACCCCAGGCCAGCACTGCCCCTCCTTCCTGCGGACTCCAGGGCTTCCATGTTTCCAGTTCTCTGAGAGCTGAGGGAGGTCCATGTACAAACCCCAAACCCCAATGGTGGTTGCATTTATGAAGATCCCATGACAGGCACTCCTCAGAGATAATGCAGGTTTTGTTCCAGACCATTGCAGTAAAGTGAGTCGTAATCTTTTTTTGTGGGAGGAGGGTTTTGCCTTCAATTTGTAAAAAACATAATGTATGTGAAGCGCTAGAAAGCAAGGTCTACCTTTATTTCCTGAGGACCTCTGAGGACAGGCATGTGTTACCTGCAGACCCCTCTGACGTGGTGGATTGTCAGCTTGACGCACACACAGCTCAGAGGACACCTTGCTCTGTGCTGCTGGAGAATGTACAGATTTAAGCCCAGTCCAAACTGCCGTGTAGTGAGTCTGACAAGGCCAGATGAAGGTGAACGTGGGCCAGGTGGCGCAGGGAAAACTGCTTTGTATGCAGCACTCCTGCTGGGGCCGGCTAGGAGCCACGCTGAGGAGACAGGGCCCAGCGTGGAAGGGGGTGGTCCCACTGACGAGTGAGGGAGCCTGTCACCATCGTCATCTGAGGACCAGGCTGGTGTTGGTGCTGGGCACGCCTGTCATGTGGGGGGTAGCAGGGCCCTGCCTGGCTCCTGTGCTGGGGTTTAGGGAAGAACCTGGGTCTAGAGCAGTGGTTCTCAACCTTCTGGCCCTTTAAATACAGTTCCTCATGTTGTGACCCAACCATAAAATTATTTTCGTTGCTACTTCATAACTGTAATGTTGCTACTGTTATGAATCGTAATGTAAATATCTGATATGCAGGATGGTCTTAGGCGACCCCTGTGAAAGGGTCGTTCGACCGCCAAAGGGGTGGCGACCCACATGTTGAGAACCGCTGTCCTAGAGGAACTAGGGTACTAGGAAGCTCTCAAGGTCAGGAATGGGGTCCAGCAGAACACGGCAGAGAGCCAGCTCCAAGAACTGGGCCATGCCCCCCCCCCCCGGGCTCCCTCACCATATTGTAAGTGCCACTCTGTTGTCACCTCTGTCAGTGATGAGTTCTGTGGGCCAGGGCCCTGCAGAGTGCTTGGCACATAGCAAGTGTCCTGAACCAATAGGGGACTCGATGTGCAGTCCCTGCACAGTGACCCTGAGCTCCTCGCTGAGAGCTGGCCTGGCCCTGAGCCTGGACCAGGGAAGCCTGGCAAAAGGTGTGGGGCTGAGGGCGGGGCAGGCCCCAGCAGTCACAGCTCTCTGGATGGGTTATACTGTCACGGTTTTTAGAGGGGTGAGGACACAATGGAATCCCTTTTGTTTAATCAAGAATTAGGTCAAAATAGCCCTGCCCGTGTGGCCCAGTGGTTGAGCATTGACCTATGAACCAGGAGGTCACAGTTTGATTCCTGGTCAGGGCACATGCCCGGGTTGCGGGCTTGATCCTCAGTAGGGACATGCAGGAGGCAGCTGATCAGTGATTCTCATCATTGATGTCTGTCTGTCTGTCTGTCTCTCTCTCTCTCTTCCTCTCTGAAATCAATAAAATATGCTTTTTACAAACTTATAAAAAATAAAGTAACACTTTAGGGGGCTCGGCAAATGGGTGGCTTACTTCAGTGTTTGATTCAATGCAAGTGGTCTTCCCCAGGGAGCCACTTTCACAGAAGTTTTGCCACACAGAGGCCTCCCTCCTCAGCTTCAAGCTGGAGCCCAGGGCCCCAGAGGTTCCTTTGTCACATGGTCTGGTGCCTGCAGGAGGTCAGAGAGGTCTGCAGGCTGCCACACAGGCTCCAGCATGGGCCTGGAACAGACCAGCATTGCTGTATTACAAAGCCCTGGACCAACAGGGTCATTATTATAATCTCTGTCTCACTCTGCCAGTTCGCAGCTGCTGGGAGGTTTATCCCAGCTCCAGTGTCCACCGCAACCTTCCCTTTCAGACCTTCTCTGCTACCTCCCTTGTGTGCTAAAAACAGCAGAACGCTCAATCCAGTTTTCTTATGAGGGCATTTGTGATAAGACAGAGGAAATGCACTGGGAAGGTGTGGCAGAGATTGGCTACCTACTCCTTAAGCCCATTTTCTCTTATTCTTGGGAGAACCTTGGTCGCATGTCCCAGCATCCTTTGCAGTTGGGTGTGGCCTTGTGGTTGTGGTCTAGCCAAAGAAGTGGGAGTGATGCAGGCTGCTCTCAGGACCGAGGCTGGAACCCTCCCACGTGATCCTCGTGGCAACCATGCAGAAAGTACAGTTGAGAGCCAGCTCAACTGCAGGGGTTAGGGGTGCCAACCCCCCATGCAGTTTTCATTCCACGAATAACTTCTGACTCCTCAAAATGTAACTACTAATAGCCTGCTGTTGACAGGAAGCCTCACCATTAATATGTATCTTATATGTTATATGTATTATATACTGTACTCTTATAATAAGGCCAGACAAAAGAAAATGGTAAGGAAATCGTAAGGAAAACATTTACAGCACTGTACGTATTTATTTTAAAAAATGTGCATGTAAGTGACCCATGCAGTTCAAACCAGTGTTGTTCAGGGTCAACTATAATCCCTCAACAAGAGACATCCAAAGAGGATGCACCCAGTTTCATTGCTTCCGTGCTGAATGGGGATTTGGAGGTGTCCGATGTAGAGGGAAGGCTGCTGGGGACTAGGATGGCAGCTGTAGAGAGCCTGCAAGCCCATAGGCCGACAGAGCCAGGAGTATAGCTGCCCTCCTCTATTTGGACTCCACCAAGGAGGCAAAGGGACACCGGCCAAGCGAGGTGGCCAAGGGGCCATATTTGGCAGGAGCAGGAGCCTCTGATGGTTGGTGGCTCTTTATCTCCCACGCAGGCTGCTCTGTAACTGCCGGCTGTGGGCAGAGGAGCAGGTCCCCCTCGCTGGGTCCCGTGAGGCCCTGCAAACACGCCCCTGTCGTGCAAATGCACAGGAGGAAAAAGCCCGTAATCCTCACACAATACCTTCGCTCTGACGTGTCACTTACCGTTAGATATATCGAATTAGCTGGAGATTTACATTCTTCTGTTCAGAATATTATGTTTTGTTCCTGAAATAGAGGTCCTAGAAGTTCCCATGGTAGAAACTGGATCATTGTTCCAGAGAAACAATATAATAGGATTATGATTCTAGCCAAAATCGGGCACACTATTTATAGAGATGATCAGAAATTGCATAGTAACCAACGTGTCAACGAGCAAAGGTGACCGTCCTGATGTGGTAAAGCTTTATGAGGCGTCTGTAAATCAGTCAAGTAGGATAATGCAATAGCCAATCACATTAAATCTCTGGAAGATGTATGTGAGAGGTTCTGGGGTAGGAACCAGCGAGCCCCTCTGGCTGAGGGCTGTGCCCGACCGTGGGGGATGTTCCCAGGCTGTTGGGAGAGCCAGTCACCTGGGTCAGGTTCATCCGAGGGGCCCTGGAGAATACAGCCGACAGGATCCTGGGCAGCTTGATGACACATTCTGCCCCAGTCCAAGGCCTTTAGAACGCTGGGCCACCCAGTGGTCAAATAGGCCCTACAGCAGGGGTGACATTCATGTTCTCTGGGCTACATGTGGCTGAGCTGGGCTTCATCGTAGCCCAGATCCTGGGATTCTGTCCCCCTGCAATCACAAGAGACCAGACTCAGAGGCCTAAGGCCAGTTTTCAATCCCTTCTTCCCCTCCAGCCTTTCCACACAACTCTGTCTTCAAGAAGCTGAAAACCCTTGGAAAGGAAATCAGTGGCGTCGTTGGAGAAGAGAGACGTGTGGCTGCCTCTGTGTCTCTGTTGTGAATGCTCCTTTTCCACCAAATCCAGTGGAACCTGGGTGGGCGTATGCTCCTGGCCCCATACCAATGGGTGTTGCCAGGGACGGGGGTTAGGAAGAGCGGAGCTGGCGTCTTCAGGAGGAACTGCCCCCAGCTTGCAGGGAACAGTTATGCTGCAGCAACACCCAATGTCGCGGTGTCGCCCTAGTGCTTTGTGCAGTGGCGACATCTTAAGGAGAAGGAAACGTGAGACGCCTCCACTCAGGTTTGTCAAGCGGATTTCCTGAGCCCTCCCAGAGCGCATCCATGACGACAGTGAGGCATTGGGAGCCTGATGGTGAGCACCGGGAGAAGGCACAGGCCTGGAGCTGTGGGTCTCGTTAAATGTCTGTCCAAACGATGGTGATTTACGTGTGTAATTCATAGAGCAGTTTCACTAGGAGACCTTGACTTCTTTGAACACCCCGTTTCCTGGTGTGTAGGCCATGGGCTCATGGGATCTGCTCGGCTAGAAGGAGGCCCAGGGAACAGCAGCTCAGCCCAGCCAAGCAAAGGCAGGGAGATCTGTGGCCACAGCGAGGAGGAGATGCTGCCACATCCGGTAACTTCAGATGCAGCCAGTCAGTTTCACGGGAGTGGCACGCTCAGGCCCTGGGGTTTTCAGAAAGCTGCGTGAGGGTGAGGGGGCTGGGAGGCTCCCCACCACTCCCTCCCTCCCCACCCTGAACAGAGTGACAGTCATATTCTCCTTTGGTTGTGGCAGAGTAAGAGCAAGGGCTGTCACCAGGTTGGGGGCTGTGAAATAACCCCCAGGAAATGCAACAGAAAGGCCGCAGGTGGCTCCCAGGAAGTCCCAGTGCTCGCGGCCTCTGGGCGGGACAGGCGCAGGCAGGGTTGGAATGGCGGGAGGTGCAAGGAGTCATTGCGAGGTGTGTTGTGGCATGGACTTCACATGCAGTTTGCGTTGGTTCCTGCACCCCTGTGCTGTCTGTCCTCTATTCCCAAACTGGCCTTTTTGGAAGCAACTAGTATTCTTTAGAATCTGCCCCCCCCCCCCATCCCTGAGGCTTCTCACGTTTAGCATTGTCCACGGGTGACTTCTTGCCACAACCCTCTTCCAGGATGATGGAAGAAGCAGGAGCAGAGACTGGTGGTGGGGAGAGGGGACAGGGCCAGCCGTGCAGTCAGACAGGAAGTCAGAACTCATCCTGCCGAGACTGAAGCTGCCCCTTCTCTGATCGCCCCCACAGGACAGAAAAACCCCGGTTAGCACGGTACCTGCACCTTGGACCAGAGAGGCTTCTCAACCCAAGACGGCTTCCAGTCCGAGGGAGGGTCCATCCCCGTCAGGAGAGCATGGCAGAGGGAACTGTGGGCTCCGGAAGCCAGTGTGCGGGCAGACACCTCCTCCTGGTCTACTCAGCAGGGAGACGAGCCTACTGGGGAGGAGCCAGCAGTTCTTGCTTCTCCTGACGTGTGCCTTGTGCCTCGGCACAACAGGCACGGTCCCGCTGGGTGGACTTTGCAGGACACCTTCCCCCACGCGGCAGGCAGACCTGAGTCCCTCATCTCAGTGGCCAAGGCGCCCCAGGCTCAAAGCTGCGGTGACACTCCAGGGTGGCATGTGGGTCCTGGGCATTGTGACCTCAGCTGCTCCACACACAGAGGTGGTCACCCTGCCCTCACCTGGGCCTGCAATCTGCATAGGACAGTGGCCTGGTCACAGGGCCCGTCGTGAGGAGGTTGGGAAAAGAACACTCTGGCCTCCTCCATCATGTCGGCCAAGAAGGCAGAACTGAAGAAAGCAAACCTGGTAAAGGAGAAAGAGCTGGACCCTGGGGGGCCTCTGAGCCCCCATGAAGGGAGGACGGGTCGGGGTGGGTACAGAGACCCCTGATGAAAGCTGGGCTTCTCTTTCTCTGTCGGAGCATGAAGTGACCGCTTAGCCCAGAAGGAGGGTGGGACTGATTCCTGGCCTCGATCTGGGAAGGCAAGCAGCCTCAGCTGGCTCCTTCGGGGACAAGGACCCATAGTACCAACCCCACCCTACTACTCCCGAGGGCATGACCCCACCCAGGCCTGCGCCAGGCCCGCATCTAATGGGCATGTCTAAGGTGTTCAATAACTTTATTATATAAACATAATTATCTTCCTCACTTTACAGATGAGGAAATGGAGGCCAGAAAAACTAAACAGCTTGCCCAAGTTGGCATGGCCAGTAGGGAGGACAGCTGAGATTAGAACCTGAGTCTGCGCTCCTGAAATAGTACTTATGTGGCTTCTTAAAGTTCCCGTAAAATTCCTCTCCGCCCAGACACCCCCAGCAGGGAGAGAGCTGCCTGCTGAACGGGCAGGTGATGCTCATGAGAGATGTGTAACAGCAGGACAAAATTGGAGTTGTCCTGAGTCGGGGGCTGGGGGACATGTGGGCTTGGGCTCAAGCACAGTTGGACAGGCAGGGCCGTGTGAGGGTCCTCCTGTCAGGGCCCGGGGGTAGCCACCCTGGTCCTGATGCTTGTATCCCAACTGCTTCTCTCCGCAGAGCAAGAACTACAAGGCAATTTGCCTGGAATTGAAGCCAGAGCCGATCAAAGTAAGAAGCTCTTTGAGCCCATGCCAGCACCCAGGCCTGAGAGCTGTGGGGAGCTGACCTGGAGTCAGGGGTCATTCGCTTTGCTGTGGCCAAGACCTGTCCCAGGTGCTGGGGGTAACTGAGAGACAGACAAGCTCTCTGCTCTCATAGAATGTCACACTAGTGACTAATCAGATAAATGCACAAATCAGGAAACAAAATCAGTAGTGTTAGTGCTATGTAGAGAATTAAAACAGGGAGATCTTACGGGGAGGCTGCTGTAAATCAGGGGTCAGGATAGGCCTCTCTTTGCGCTGAGAGCTGAAGGATGAGACTCTGGTCACTCAAAGACTAAGGAAGAGCACTGTAGGTCGAGGAAGCAGCTGTGCAAAGGTACTGAGGCAGGAGTGAGCCTGGCTGTTCAGGGACAGAGCTGAGGCCCAGGAGGGGAGTGGAATGAGAGGAGCTCAGAGAGAATTGAAGGATGGAGGAAACTGCTGCACAGGTGGGGCCACCAGCTCCCCTCTGTCTACCCTGGCTGGGAGGGAGGAACAGAAACTCGGGGTGATCTCTCCTGCCTTATCTACCCCACACCTGCCATTTCCAATACCCTGTGTTTCTGGTTTTAATCAACAGACATGTGAATACAAAAGAATTAAACCAGAAGGGCCATTTACCAAAACGGGAGGGACGAGGGAGCTAAAGGTAGGTGTTTGAACCCAGGCTGCAGGGGTGGGGTCAACCCAGTGAAGGGGGGCTGGGCAGCTGAACAACTTCCATGGGGGATAAACTGTGGCAGCGGGCCCTGTGACTCCATTCTCTTCAGTTCTTTTGGTTTGTTTCCTTTAACTCTTTATTGTGAAACTAGAGGCCCAGTGCACGAAATCATGCACCAGTGGGTCCCTCGGCCTGGCCAGCGGGATCAGGCCGAAACCGGCTCTCAAACATCCCCTGAGGGGTCCCAGATTGCGAGAGGGCACAGGCCACAGGCCAGGCCAAGGGACCCCACTGATGCATGATTGGGGCTGGGGACAAGGGAGGTTGGCCAGCTAGAGAGGGACCGCAGGAGGGCTCCAGGGCATGTCCAGCCCATCTTGCTCAGTCCTGATCAGTTGGACCCCAACAGCAAGCTAACCTACCAGTTGGAGCATCTGCCCCCTGGTGGCCAGTGCACGTCATAGAGAATGGTTGAGCGGCCTTAGCATATCATTAGCATATTATGCTTTAATTGGTTGAACGGACGACCAGATGACCAGACACTTAGCACATTAGGCTTTTATTATATAGGGTAATTTCAGACTTAGAGAAAAGTTTCAAAAAATGACACAATGAATTCTAGTATACGCTTTGCCCAGATTCCCCAAATGTTGGCATTTAATCATGGTTCTTTCCCTCTATCTCATATATTTATATATTCACACACACACACACACACACACACACACACATACACACACACACATACACACACACACAATGAATATATATATTTCCTGAACTATTCGGGAGCATGTTTCTCTCAAATTTTGGTATAAATTTCCTAAAAAACAAGAACACTCTCTTATATGGCCAGTAATATTATCAAATATCAAAACCAGGAAATTAACTTTGACACAGTATTCATCTACAGCCTTTATTCTAATTTCAACAATGACCCCACTAATGTCTTTCATAACAAGAGAAAAAACAGCCTTTTGGTCTGGGACCCAATCTTGGATCACACATTGCATCCGGGCTCTGTGTCCCTTGGCCTCCTGTCACCTGGAACAATTCTTCAACCTTTATCTCTTGGACACTGGCATATTTTAGGATTAGAGACCATTCATTTTGTAGAATGAGCCTTATTTGGGGTTGTTTGTACATTTTTGGCAGCCATATTCCAGAAGTGTCAAAGGCACATGATGTCTGGATGTCCCACTCTCTCCTGTTTTCTTTCTTTTTTAAAACATATTTTTACTGATTTCAGAGAGGAAGGGAGAGAGAGAAAAAGAGGTGTGGGGGACAGAGAAACATCAATGATGAGAGAGAATCATTGATTGGCTGCCTCCTGCATGTCCCCTACTGGGGATCAAGTCCACAACCCCAGGCATGTGCCCTCACCAGGAATCGAACCGTGACCTCCTGTTTCTTAGGTAGATGCTCAACCACTGAGCCACACTGGCCGGACTCTCCTATTTTCTTAATAGCCTCCTTTCTCTCCTCCCTGATGGGAAGTCTCTCTGTCCTTCCTTATCCACGCCGCTGAATCTTTTCTTTCCTCCTTTGGCACTTGCCCTTCCATCCAAGACATTTCTTTACTCTTCCTCTTCCCAATTTTATTTCCTCAGAATGATCTCAGGGAGGTGAGAGAAGAGCTCAAGGAAAAGATGGAGGAGATAAAACAGGTAACAGGATGGGACTTTCCAGAACTTGAAGGTGAAGGGTAGCTTCCAGGAAAGTGCAGTGCCTGACTTTGAACAGAGAAGGAAATCACGAGTTGCACGGAGAAAGCACTCCAATAAACTCAGCCCAAATCCCCTAGAGCAGTGGTCGGCAAACTGTGGCCCCTTGAGTGTGGCTCTTCCACAAAATACCACGTGCGGGCGCACACGTACAGTGCGATTGAAACTGCGTGGCCACACTCCAGAGGCCAAAGAGCCGCATGTGGCTCGCGAGCCGCAGTTTGCCGACCACGGCCCTAGAGCATTTAAGTGTCGGGCAGCTTAGGATAATTACTAGTATTTGTTTGATGCTTCAACCCAATGATTGAGTGATAAGGACTCCTAAGGTGTCTTAGGGATAAGGTTGGGGAGATATAACTTCAGTGACAGAGAGGGGCTGATTGGAATTTGGGGGCAGTCGGGACCAGTTCAGTTTTTCTTACTCACCTCCCCTTAGCAAGCTGCAGAGCAAGACCTCTTCTTCTCTTGTTTCCTTGATGGGACAACCTAGAGCAGGAGTGGGCAACCTTTTTGTGAGTGCATGCCAAAACCAGCAAAATCTCTGACTCAAAATTCTTCTGCATGCCAACCCTAATTTTTTGAGAACATGTTACGCCTACTTGATATTTCTTAAGGTGTACATATGTGAAGAACCTTGAAGAAAGAATAAAATTCATTCGAGCGACAAAAACACAGTATATGATGATGAAAAATACATTTATTTTTTAATGTATACATGTACACTGATAGTCCGACAGAAAACTTTATGACTCCGTTTGATATTATCAGTGGGACTTTTGCTGCTGCATCACTGATGACAGAGATTTTACATCAGGTTTATATTTCGTGACCTTCAGAGATATGCATGAGCTACTACTTTCATCTGTCAGGCTACTCCTATTATGAGACTTAACAAAATTCATCACTGAGAACAAAGATTCACAAGCGTATGTGGATGAAACCAAAACACTGGTCGGATCTAGGAAGGCAGGGAGAGTTAAGGCAGAGGCATAGAAATTGCTCTTCCCCTCTCTCGTCAATCCATGTCTATGGTCTTTAAGATAACTTGTTATGTAAAATTATTTATCTAAGATGCACCTACACTGAATTTATCTGAAAAATAAAGTCGATATTAAGAAAAAATTGTAAATGGAAGATTATAAGAGAGGGTTTCGCATGCCAGCAAAAGTTACTGGTGTGCCATGTTTGGCATGCATGCCAGGGGTTGCCCACCCCTGACCTAGAGCATCCTTACAAAGAAGGGGAATGCTCATGTGAGAAGGTGTCGCTGCAGCTGTGGTCTGAGCTCCACATGGAAGCCTGGCAGTGGTCAGATCTAAGTTGTGCCAAGGCTGGTGGTGGTGGTGACTAGATTCTAACTGCACCCTAGTCCCTTCCCTGACCCCTTGAGAAGAAAGTGGCTTTAATGGGCCATGATTAGTCCATTCCTTGAGCTTCATCCAGCTCACTCCAGCAGAGCAGCTGTTGCCCTTTGCTTAAAATGACTCCACGGTCAGTAATATAGGCTCTGTGTCTTTCTTCCTTGTTAGATAAAATGTGTAATGGACAAGGATTTTGATAAACTCCAAGAATTTGTGGAGATTATGAAGGTAAGCATTTACATGGGCCAGTACCATCCTAGGATTTGTGGAAGGTGATACCAGGCCCTGCCCCAAATTCTATTGCAAGGAAGAATTTACAGGTGAGTAACAAGCTAAATGATAACTGTATGTCACTTTATTAAGAGTTTAGAGATGTGAGTAATGAAGGTGGGCTGGAGTAACCAGAAAAGTCCTTACAGAAAAAGTGAGTCTTCTGGTGCCCTGCAGGCTGCTTTGAAGGCTTAATGCAAATCTAACCAAAAGCCCAATAAGATTATTTTTGAACTCAATAGTCACTAAGAGGATCATCTAGATACTAGAACCGTGGTTCTCAGACTTTGGTGTGTTGCAGAACCACCAACACAAGTAAACACAGCAAAGCCTGAGTCCTATTTCGATGGGACCTGCAACTACCCCTACTGGATATTAAAACTCATTATAAAGCCACAATAATCAAGTTACGGTGGAACAGCCCAAGGATAACCAGCACAGAGAACCCTGTAAGAGCCTTTCTGCCTGGGTACAATGAGGATACTTGTGAGGATTCCTAAAATTCACATGCCCAGGCCCAGGACCAGATTAACAGGCTGGGGCACAGTTGTGATGCTCTCCCCGGATGAGAACCGGGTCCTCAGCACCTCTGCAGCAGCTACTCACCTGGCTGCACTCACCTGAACTGTGGCTCTGACCTGCCCCCTCATACCCAGGCTGCACCCCATAACAATTGCATCAGAACGTCTTGGGATGAGGTCCAGGGTCAGTAGTTTTTAAAGCTCCCCATGTGATTCCGTTGTAACTCAAGTTTGGGAACCTTCCTCCCAGCTCTATAACATTTAAAATACAATGAGAATTTTTTTTAAAGGTCAGCGAGAAGGAAAGGATTATGTAATATTAACATTGCATGATTATATGAAGAAAAGACTTAATTCACTTAACTCTGTAAACTGAAATAGTCTACAACATGAATTTAAAAAACAATAAGGAGAAAGTGTGTATAAGTATTTAACCAGATGTTCTAAGCATAAATACAATGGGAGAAATCACAAAAGATATATTGATATATTTAACAATATTTTAAAAATTTGAAATTATCACAGAAAAGCACCATAAACAATTAAAAAGCCAACAACAGTTTTGGAGAAACAATTTTTTTTCCACAAATATGATAGGCATAGACAACAGGTTTTTTATCTGCAACATATAAAGTTCACACAAATCAATAAGAACCAGAAAGAAAAATGGGAAAAGGGCAGGAACAGATAATCCACAGAAGGGAATATAACTAAAAAGCAGTAAGCATTAAAAGAGTTTACCTCATGGGTAATCAAATAAATGCAAATGAAAACAATGATTAGATTGTCACATTCAAACAAGCAAAGTTTTAATTTATGGTAATTATAGATAAGATAGGAATGCTTTCGTACTGCTGCTCAGAGTTCAAGTATGTACAAAACTGAAAAGGAATTAGACTATAAGTATCAAAAAGCACTTAAACCCCTTGACTTATCAGTTCCAGTTCTCAGAACTTAACCTCTGAGAATAACCAGAAAAATCTGGAAATAACCACAATTTTAACAGTAGAAAAATAGGCAAATAAGTTATGGTATATTCATATATGGAAAATTAGGAACTGTTAGAGACAGTACTTAGGAAGAATGCTTGTAATGAGAAGTAAAATAGGCAAGATACAAGGCATGTGTACAGGCTGAGCTCAACTAAATGGGAAAAAATGGGTAAATGAACATATAGAAAAGGGACTGGAAAGAAATGTGCCAAAAGGGTTATTGTTATTTCTAAATGAGGACAATTTTTTCTTTTATATTCCTCTGTGTTATCCAGATTTTCTGCAAAGGGCATGTGTTAATTTCTTTGGTAAAATGCAGGCACAGTGAGTGTTTTGTTAGTGGGTAGGACTGGGCATGAAAGGCACACAAAGGAGGCTATTTCGGGCGTGGGCACAGCTTGCGCACAGCATGGAGGCAGGAGGAACATGAAGCGTATCCCAGTCAGTGGGGAGATCAGTCATAAAAGTGGGATCATTTGGGGAAACTGTGAGAAATAAAATGGAAGGGGCACCGAGGAAGTGGGTAATGAAGGCTTTTGAAAGACAGGCAGACCGGCTGGGACTTGGCTGTGTAAGCAGTAAGGGGCTTCTGGAGATTCTTAATCAAAGAACATGCTACGAGCAGCATTTCAGAAAGCTGAGCCGGCAGCTGTTTGCAAGGTGGCCTGGGGACCCTGGGGAGCAGGGAGGGGTCATCTGGAGCAAAAATATCAGACAGGAAGCCACCCAGCTCAAGGTGAAGAAAGCTGGACCAGGTGTAGAAAGGAAAGGGTGAATCTGAAAGAGGTATCGAAGGAAAAACAACATTCTTGGTGACTGATTCAATATAGAAAATGAAAGAGGAAAGCATCCATGATGACATCAAAATTTTAATCTGTGTAATTAGAAGAAAGTGGTGACAATGACAGGGGTGGTTGGGAAATAGAACTAATTTAGAAGAGAAAATGAGGTCAGTTTGGGATGTGAGGAGTTTGAAGTGGTGGTGAGACTTATAAAAATATGGGATGTTTGACTCTGATTTTTTGAACCCAGGGGAAATTTTGACTTCAAGGATATTTTAACTCTACTTATGAATATGAATATTTTATTCAAAATTTATACTAACATTTAAAAATGCTTTTCAAGAAGGTATTTTTTGAAATCATCTCCACCCAGACAGTTTTTACTGCAGTTCAGTAAACTGTTTCCCAATCTTTCATTTTTTATTAAAATTATTTTCCTCGAAACAAATTATTTTTCATTTATACTTTATGATGTTTGATCATAACAAATATTATGTCAATAACAAATATTGTCTCTGATAACATCTGCCATCTCAGAAATTCTTTTGTGACCACTATTCCTATCTAGTTCTCCCAGGTCAATTTATCTAAACTTTGCTGAGATTTTACTGTCCTTTCAGTTCTTAGTAAATAATGATTGTGAGGTGCCATTTGAGCTACTATCAGTTTTGTGTTGTGTTGACCATTTCTATCAGGAATTGAGAAAAAGATGGAGCAGACAAATATGAACTATCAGGGTGTGTGGCAGGGCCAAACGTTGGGGTCAATGTTTCTTTGGGGAGGGGGGTTTCACACAATTTGTTTTCTTGGTTCTGTCATTTTATAGGCATGAACCAAGGCAGGTAATGGTTTCATCTAAGTGTGAATTCAGATAAATCACTTCCTGGCCTCTGACTCACCTGGAGACTTTGGACAAGCCCCTGATGACTCTACCTATTGCTCAGCCTAATCATGGAATGGGGGAGGGGGAAAAGGGAGGCAGCCCATGTCAGCTTCACACCATAAGCCCCCTCACGCAAGGCTGGTGAGATTCTGAGGAAGTATGATGCCGAGGTGTGATCTCTGAGTGATTTTCAGAGAGGCAGGAGGAGAGGACTTCAAAAGCCCTTCAAGATGTAGGGTCTAGCTTTGAATTCTCTCTTGAAGGAAATGCAGAAAGATATGGATGAGAAGATGGATGTTTTAATAAATATACAGAAAAACAGCAAGCTGTAAGTATAACCTGCACCCATATCTCCTCGTTTCTAAAGAATCTCCCCCTTCATGTTGCTAAATGTCCAGTCTTCAGACCCTTCGAGGAGCTGTCTTGCTTTCTGTGGCCCCAATGGCTAGGAGTCAAGGCCTTCCACGGCCACCTGTGCTATGGGTATCTCCTTGTCATGTTGGAATTTGTCTCCCCAACTCTGCTCCTCCCTGACTCCCCAGTCCCCTTAGAAGAGGACCAAAGGAGCATCAGGAACTCAGGCAGATAGGAAAGCCTGACACAGACTCACAGCACCGGCTCAAGAAACTGGAGGGAGTTGAAGGAGCATCGCTTTCTATTCACAAGAAGAATATGGCACTACAGAAACTCAAAAAGGACCCACTGGACTCCCTTCATCAACGTGGGACCTGCTATGTGAGTGAAGCTTGCCACCCCCCTTGCTGGGAGCTGTACCCTGGGCTCCTGCTGCTGCCTCCCCTCCCCCTGGGCCCTCCTGACTCTGGAACCTTTGGCCGTAAGGATTGCACCCCTCTGCGGTCCCGGGAAGGCCCTGGAGCCTGAAGTCCTCTCTGGGGTCTTGCCCTATAGGCCTGGGGAGAGTCCTAAGTCATGACCAAGTAGGTAGGACTCAACCCTGGATGTGTCTGCCCCAAGTGCCACTGTATTGTTCTGTCCTTTCCTATAGCAAAACTTGACGAGGTGCCCAGCAGTCTGGCCATCTTGGACCAGGGAAAAATGATCTTTCTTGTGCTGTTTCTGTCCTCTACAGGAGAAATGTATGTTGTGTGCCCTAAAGAACAACCACAATCAGGGGTAGGTAGATCCATACAAGATGTGCCTGGTCTTAGTCGGGTGCCCCGTCATCCCTAAGGCAGAGGCTCAGGCTGCAATTGCATCAGACCTTACCTGTGCCCACGCAGGCTCTGCCCCCACCACATCCACTCAGTCTTAGAGAACGTGGCACCAGGAAGGAGGACTGGGTAGCCTAGCCTGGAGGCGGCTGCCTGGAGGCTCCCGTGGAGGGGAGGGTGCTCACCAACTGCTGACCTGATCTTGCCTCAGGTTCCTGCCTTTCTCCCCGTCTAGCAGGAGACTTCCACACCAGGGCTGGGCACCCTCCTCATCCTTGGCATCTGGAGCTGCATTCTGATGTACCTGTGCTTCAACCTCTACATGACCGAGGACATGCTTCCAACTTAGTGCTGCCATGGAACCCACCAGAGCTCCAGTTCCTCCTCCCCCAACTCCTTGAGCTGTACAGTAGAGGCTTGTTGCCCCTTCCATACCACCCCGCCCCAGGCCTCCCGCCACCCGGATTAAAATCTTCATTGAAAGCCAAAGGGGGTGTCACCAAACTCGAGTATGCAGACTGTCACTTCCTTTGTTCTCCAGTCCCTCTTCCTGCTTCCTGGTGGATTAGTGGGAAGTTCTGTTTTGGTCATCCTTGGGGTCATCCCCCCTCCCTGCTGTCTCCCTCTGTTCCACCTTATTCTGCAAAGGCCCCAGGTCAGAAGAGAGGGGAGGCCCGAGAGATATCAGACACCTTCCTGTGTAGTCACAGGAGACACCCCTACCATCCTGTCCAACCATTCCTTCCATCTTCGTGGCTCTTGCATTGTATGTGTGTGTTGAGGGAAACCTGAGAGGTGAGGTATGTGGGGAACCCCCAGGCCCAGAGTCTAGTGTGCAGGAGGACTCAGGGCCTGGTGCACAGTGGTCGCCTTGGGCGCTGAGGATCCACCCTCCTTGTCCTCTAGCAGATTTCCTCCCGCCTCCACAGGAAGGATACACATCCATCCCTTCAAAGGCCTTAGGTCATTGCAAAGGTGGGGATGAGCCAGTGACCTCCCCAGCTACACTCTGTCCTGCCCCAAATCCTCCACCTCGGGGAAGATGAGGCTTGGCTGCTAGCTGAAAGTGAGAGCAAAGAAAGATGCAGAGAAAACAGGATTTCAATGAACTCTCCTACCATGGGTGTGCTTCTTGGCACCAGTTTGATGGAGAAACTCATGGGAGTTCATATTTTATTTAACACCAGCTCTTGCCTGTTTCATCTCCTTGCCAAGTTGGCTGCTTCGACTTTTAGACAGTCTAGTAAATAACTGGTCATTGCTACATAGTAATGAGCAGTGTATTGGGTGCTTTAAATCAGCGGTCGCCAACCTTTTGGACTTCATGGGCCACCAGTGGTCTGTGGACCACCATTTGGTGACCACTGCTTTAGATACATTATTTTATTTATTTTTTAAGATATATATTTTAAAAACAAAAAACAAAAGAAAACATAAGCCTTGCCTTTATAGTTTTAAAGGAGATGGTAAACATGTATAATAAAAATCTGGACCCTAAGTAAATCAGTACAGTGGTCTTACACATGTGATGAAAGCAGAAATGGGGCAGGAATGGGAAAGGAGAGGGCCAGGTATAGCCCTGCGTCGTTTCCCTGCCGTGGTAACAGATTACCACACAGTCAGTGCCTGGAGTCAACACAAAGTGGGTCTCTGGGCTGAAACCCAGGCAGTGGCCACCTGTGTTCCTTCGGAAGGCTCTCGGGGAGAATGTTTCTTGCCGTTTCAGCTTCCAGAGGCTGCCTGCATCCCCTCTCACAGCCTCTTCCATCTTCAAAACCAGCAATGACCAGTCCAGTCTTTCTCATTCTGCATCACTCTGATCCTGGTTCTTCCTCTGCCTCCTGGCCCACTTTTAAGGACCCTTGTGACCACGTTGGGCCCACCTGGAAATGCCGGATAGTCTTCTTATGTTAAGGTCAGTTGATGAACAAACTTCTTTCCCTTTGCTGTGTAACATAACATATTCACAGGTTCTAAAACATGGGCATCTTTAGGGGTTGTTATTCTGCCTGTTGCAGGGGACTCCCCAGATGCTGTCCTTTGACTACCAAACCCCCAAACATTTGGGAACACTTCATTGTTCAAGTTCTATGCTGTGGTGGTTTTTAAATAGGCCCACAAGTTCTTTGATACCCTTTCAAGAAGAGACTGAATCCTCTCTCATTGAGTGAGAGCTAGACATAGTGATTGCCTCTAAAGAATAGAATATGGCAGAGATGATGCTGTGTGGCTTCCAAGACTATGTCATAAAAGACATGTGACGTCTGTCTTGCTCTCAGACACTCATTCCAAAAGGAAATCTGATTGGGCAGGTTGGGTTGTATATCCACCTTGGTCTGATCAACTGGGTTCTGTGTCACAAAGAAGTGGGGGCATGTAGGTTGGGGAGACCCCCAAGAGGCTCAGTACACAGGATAGGAATAGCATCTTGGGCAGAAGAGACAAGATTACGTATAATTCCATTCTAGGTGAGGTGACATTGAGACCGACAGAAAAAGCACAAGCTCACCAGCAAAGCCGGCCCACGTGCAGCGTCAGCAGGAATGAAGGGCTGTGACTCCCTGAAGGTCCATTCCTGAGGACAGATGGGACAGCTGTTTGCAGCTGGCAAGACCTGTTCCCTCAACACACACTTGTCCTTCTGTTGCCTCTGAGTTGGATGATGTGGAACTGGGGCCTGGAGGAGCTTGGGAATGGCCAAGGGCCAGGGACTGCAGAGACCACTGCCACCGTCTGAGGGCTTGACAAGCACTGCAGAATCATGTGCACAAAGGAGACTTGGCACTTCAGCTCAGCTTGGCAGCTCTGGTTCCCTGATGACCTTGTCTTAGTTCTTAAAACTGGCATCTGCTTAGGTTTGGAAACACATTGGGGGCAATGTGGCCACAAAATCAAGTCTCAAGAGCCCCCACCAAGCCTCCCTCAGCTCATGTGCCAATGTGAATACAGGTCACAGTCCCATGTGTCCATTCGCAGACATGATCTGGGATAGAAATCTGAGGAGTCGTGAGATTTTTCTTGGGTTCACCTCCCCTCCCCCAAACCTGCTTGGTACTGAGGGACCTAAGTGGGAAGTCCCCTGGGACTCTTCAGGGATGTCCACAAGTCCTGAAGGGATCAAGAGGGGGCCAACACATGCATCACTCAGGGGAGGCAGCAAAAGTTCAGGTAACAAACAGTTCTTGAGCAGGGCTCTGACCTTCATGCTGACGATGAAGATGACGACTTAAATGCTGCCTCTAAAAACCAATGAGCTGCATGGAGAGGAAAGACATATGCAGGTGGCAACCAGTGAGAAGTTGGGAAACTTTAAATGGCCAAGTGGCCAAGTCATTGAAGAGTTGTGTAGAGGCAAAGGCCAGTCCAAGGTGGATATCCAAACCAACCTGCTCAAGCAAGTTTCTTTCCCTGGGAATTCAGAATTGGAATTTGGTGAGACTCAGCAGGCCCCCAGAACTGAGGCCTCATAATTGGGAGCTGGAGAGTCATCTGCCACCATTAGCCAACGAAGCAGAGAAAGCTGATTTGTACAAAAATAAAACCAGTTTGCAGAGACGCAAGAATAAAATGGGGAAGCTGGGAGAAGTAGTGACCCATGCAGTTCCAGAGCGGGGGCTGTGGGTCTGGTGCTAGCCCAGCCTTCACTGTGCGAGAGCCCCAGACTCTTGGACTGCAGGGTCTGGTTCTATTTAAGCAGAGTGGCTTTCTGTTACCACCAAACAAGTCTGAACTAAGGAATCTCAGAGATTGTCTGATCCAATCTCCTCAACTTACAATGAGATTCTGAGGCCCCGAGAGGTGCAGTGAGGTGCCGTCAGCCACACAATCAATTTGAAGCAAATCCAGGACACAAAGCCAGATGCTCTGACTCCAGGCCCAGTGCTCTTTGCCTCCTTTGCTCTGTGGCACGTCCAGGGGGCGGGAATGAGGTGGGAGCACAGACCTGGGGTCAGGTGGATCAGAATACAAGTCAATGGTAAGTCAGTTCACTTCTCTGAGACTTAGTGTTTTCATCTGGAACATGGGGATAGGAACATGTAGTTCACAGGGTGTTGTGAGGTTAAATGAGAGTATATGCAGAGGAATTAAGGTGTGCTTTTAATGCCATGACAACAATGATGATGAGAACTGCCTTTCCTCGATTAACAGGCCTTTGATTCTCAAGGTCAGTTTCCTGACACCTTGACTAACTCCAGTCATAACATAGCCAGGTGTGCAATGAAATGAATGTTGCTCTACTTTAAGAAATAAGCAAATGACCTATAGCTGTTGTTTTGAGAGGAGGAGGATGTGCATATTAAGAAATCAAACAGTAGGAAAATACACAAGTGGTAGGGGGATTGGGACTGGCTAGAGGACAGAATGGGTCCCTTGTGACACAGCATCTCACTCCTGTGACCTCAGTGTCCCATTCCCATAATTGGCTCTCCCCAGCTCACCCATGGATGACAGGTGCTGCACCCCAGGCCCTGACCCAAGCAGTCACCAGAGAAACATGAGGGTGAGTCATTTGGCAGCAGTCAGGAAGCCAGAAGCCAGGCTGTGTCATCCATTCCATCAGTGCCATGGGCTCGTCACGTGCCCACTCACAGCTTCTCTGGGTCACAGTCTGCTGCCAGCCCTGGAAGGTGGGTGAGGATGGGCTCAGGCATCTACTACCCATGATGGGACCACAGACCAATCTCTCTCAGACTCAACAGGTCTGATTACACCCATTTCCATGGCAATAAGCTACCCATCCACCTTCCTAAGGGGGTCCACCCACGCTGCCTGGCTCCAGAGGCCCCTATTGCTTTTCTGTTCGAGCCTTCAGTGTTTCTAAGGTGATTCACCCTCCTACATGTGTGATCAAGGTGACCTTTGGAACTTCTTTTTATATTAAAATGCAACCCAACCAAGTTCAATCTCCAGAACTGAAATAAAACAGCGAGTGTGAAAGCCCCTGTTGGAGAAGACACAGTTGGAGAAGTGCCCTCAGCAGGTGATGGAGTCAGAACATCTGGCTTTGGGTCCTGGATTTGCTTCAAATTGATTGTGTGGCTGAGGGCACCTCGCTGCACCTCTTGGGGCCTCAGAATCTCATTGTAAGTTGAGGAGACTGGATCAGAGATTGTCCATTTGAGACTTTAATATTGAGCTTTTAAAAGTGACAAAGTAGGGTTTTGTTTTTTTATGGGTGATGAATTTGTGGGGAGATGAACAGCTCTGGGTGAGACATACCAGATGCCTGGAAAGAGAAAAAATTATAGATGGCTGCCAGGTTTTCACTACAAGGGTACTTGTTGTAGTCATTTAATAATATATGCTTAAAAATCAGGAACAACGTAAGTGGACACCAATTGGCTAAATAAATTATGGCATACCCATAAAATGGAATGCTCAACTGTTAATATCTTGTTGAAATATATTTAATGGTTCTAGCTAGTTTGGCTCAGTGGATAGAGCGTTGGCCTGCAGACTGAAGAGTCCCAGATTTGATTTTCCAGTCA